GTGTCACCCTTCAATAATTCTCAACAATCAAGCATAAATCGAAAACCCTAATTAAGCATGAATCGCATAAAATTGAACAATCTAGGGCCCGACAATCACACACGATTCAAAGCATCGATTTCCTATTCCCTAGCAATTAATTTAGCTACTCATAATCGGATTAACAATCGAAATCATCACAATCGAAAAACCCATATTCATCGATTAAATGAAAAAGAAAATCTTACGATCGTTCAAATCCGAAAGCCCAACTTGATAAACAAGCTTGAATCCGAAAGCAACAACGAAATCCGATCGTGAATCCTCGATCCCGTCGAGATTATTAAAAGAAAAGTAATAAGAACAAAATCCCAAACTAAGGAACCAAAAAAAAAGAAAAAATAAAACCTAGCCTGTATCCAAAAAATAATGTCCGCCCTCAAACTAAAAATCTGCCTCTTAAAATCTGTTCTCGCGACACTCGCGGCCGCGACTCGTCTGGTGGTCGCGGTGAAAGAAATCTCGCGGCCGTGACTGCTCTCCGAGGCCGCGGAATTTCCTCTCTGAAATCGGAAAAAGCTGGGAAGGTTTTGGTCGCCGCGGCCGCGGAGAAGAGGAAGTCGCGGCTGCGGGAGGGGAAAAATCTGGGCGAAAAAATTTGCAGCAGGTGGGCGCCGCGGCGTTGCGGGCTTGCCGCGGCGCGACGGGTCTGGTTCTGCGGCGTGAAGCTGACTCCTGGCGTGGAGAATTGGAGTGGTGTCGTGGTCAGCAGCTGCCCTGTGTGAAGTTGACTGCCGCGAAGGTTGTGCGAAAAGAGGCTGGCCGGACTGGTGTGGGGGTGAAAGCCGAAGGCGAGCAGACTCCCAAGGCGATTTGACTTGAGACGATGGCAGCTGACGGGGCCCATCAGGTTCTGACAGTGGACGTTTGAGATGTTTGCTGCAAATTCTGAATTTCTTTGATGAGAAGTGGTGTTCGGGCTGATGGCATGACGGATGTCCGGCGGTTGAAGATGATGGTCTGGTTCGAACGGACGGGCTCGGCTGAGACTTGCGGTAGCCTCGCGATGGTGATGGTGGCGGCGTTCGGTTCTCTGCTTAAGCTGCTGGTTTTGGTGTTTCTGTGAAAGTTTCAGGCTCGTTGGAACTCGATTGAACTCGTTGCTTAACGAAGCCTTTAAAACACTTCCGCTGGCTTGGCTAATTGTTTTGCTTGAAATCCGAAACTCCCGGGGCATTCAGCCTGCACGCCACGAGACGAAAACAAAAACGGAGAAAACGAAGAAAATAATCGAAAAACGCAAAAAGATTCTAAATAAATGAACACACACACGAAAAGAAATAAAACGGACCAAAACGATCACGAAAAACATAAAATGGGGGAAAAAAGACAAGGAAAATAATCAAGAAAAATGTAACAAAAATGGGACAAACAGGATGGTGATGCCCTTCGGCTTGTCTAATGCTCCTAGCACATTCATGAGGGTGATGAATCAGGCACTACGGGACTTTATCGGGAGGAGTGTCGTCGTTTATTTCGACGATATTCTTATTTACAGCCAGTCCTTGGAGGAGCATATCCAGCATGTGCGCGAGGTATTAATTGTGTTACGCACTCAGTCATTTTTTGCTGCACCTCATAAATGCATCTTCTTGGCTAGTTCTGTGTTTTTTGGGATTTATCATTTCGGCTGAGGGCATTTGTGTGGACGATAGTAAGGTGGCGACCATTCGGATTTGGCCGACTCCGACCTCCTTTACCGAGGCCCGGAGTTTTCACGGCCTCGCCTCTTTCTATCGCCGCTTTATTTTTCATTTCAGTACTATTACGGCACCGATTACTGATTGCCTTCATGGGTCATCTTTTGTTTGGACTCCGGCGGCTGAGGATGCTTTTATATTGATCAAGCGCAAGTTGACCTCGGCTCCTGTCCTCGTGCTCCCTGATTTTACGAGGCCGTTTGAGTTATCGTGTAATGCGTCGAAGGTGGGCATTGGGGCTGTCCTCAGTCAGGAGGGTCGACCCGTGTCTTTTTTCAGTGAGAAGCTTTCTAGTCCTCGCATTCGATACAACACATATGATGTCGAGTTTTATGCTATTGTTCAGGCGGTTCGTCATTGGCGACATTATCTATTTCATCGGGAGTTCGTGCTCTATACGGATCATGAGGCTTTGCGACATTTAGCCTCTCAGGATAATATCTCGTCGCGATATGCATCTTGGATTGCCTTTTTACAACAGTTCACGTTTGTTCTGAAGCACCGTTCGGGTGCTTCGAATAGGGTGGCTGACGCTTTGAGTCGACGAGCCCTGCTGTTATCCGATATGCGTGTTTCAGCCGTGGGTTTTGACATGTTGCGCGAGGCCTACGATGGTGATGTATTTTTTGGGCCCATTATCCGTCGCTTGGGCCTAGGGCCTTATGAGGATTATTCTTTGACTGATGGTTTCTTGTTCCGGGGTGTTCGCCTTTGCATTCCGGACTGTAGTCTTCGTTACAAGCTTGTTGCAGAGATCCATGGTGGGGGTTACGTCGGACGTGACCGTTCAGTTGAGCTTGTCAGCCGTTCTTATTTATGGCCTTCTCTGCGCCGTGATGTATCCCGGTTTGTGTCGAGGTGTCGCGTGTGCCATGTGTCCAAGGGAGTTGCTTCGAATGCCGGTATATATAGGCCTCTTCCTATCCCTTCCCAGCCGTGGTGCGCGATTAGTATGGATTTTGTGTTAGAATTGCCACGCACTCAGAGGGGTTTCGACTCTATTTTTGTGGTCGTGGATCGCTTTTCGAATATGGTCCACTTTATCCCGTGCAAGAGGACCACTGATGCCATTCACGTGGCGCAATTGTTCTTTCGTGAGGTCTACCGTTTGCATGGCCTTCCCTCGTCCATTGTGTCGGATCGAGACACTCGTTTTTTGAGCCACTTTTGGCGCAGTCTTTGGCGTATGGCGAATACTCAGTTAGATTTCAGCAGTGCGTACCATCCTCAGACGGATGGTCAGACGGAAGTGGTGAATCGATCCTTGGGTAACTTGCTGCGTTGTTTGGTGGGCGACAACCTTCGTAGCTGGGATCAGCGTTTGAGCCAGGCTGTGTTCGCCCACAACTCGGCCCTTAGCCGTGCCACGGGGCTCTCGCCTTTTGAGACGGTTTATGGCATGCGGCCTCGGGGTCCTTCGGATTTGGTCCTTTTCCCGTCTTCTTCCACGACTGATATGAGAGCGGTCGATATGATTGCTGAACTTCAAGCTATCCACGAGAAGACACGGGCTCGCCTCGAGGCTACCACGGCCGCATATAAGAGACAGGCGGATGCGAGGAGGCGCCATGTTGAATTCGATGTCGGGGACTTTGTTTGGGCCGTCTTGACGAAGGATAGGTTCACGCGCATGAGTACAACAAGTTATGTGCCCGGCAGATTGGTTCGGTCGAAGTGGTTGAGAAGATCAACCCCAATGCCTATCGCTTGCGCCTTCCATCCCACATTCGGACTTCTGACGTTTTCAACGTCAAGCATCTAGTACCTTTCTCGGGGGACAATTCAGACGGAGATGAGACGGTTCGGATTCGCGGCCGAATCCTTCCCAACCCGGGGAGAATGATGGAGATGAGACCTCCTTGGCCTTTCTCGACAAGTTTGATCGTCTCAAGATTTAGTTCGTAATTTTATTATTTGATTTTTATTATGCATATCTATTCCTTTCTTTTATTATTCTAGTTTTCTTATTATTTTAGGAAACAA